CAGACTTGTTTCTGGCAAGTACACTGCTCCATAACAATAATAATTTTCATCTCGACCTGACATGCATCTTCCAGGCCTAAATGGGACTTTGGAAGCATTAAACATGATTTTAAAATCAACTCCACTGTCTCTAGCATGAGCGCGTGATAGCATTAGAAATTTTTATTTTTTAAATAATGAAGTTGCATGGTGGGAGTTGTGCACAACCTTGTCGATTGAAGACGAAACTGGATCGTAATTAAAGTAAAAATAAGATAGCAATGTAGTATCAACACTGGTGGTTAGCCACAGCAAATTGTGACTTTTTTGTACAATTCATTTGAGTGTGCATCTCGGCTTTTTGTCTCGTTTTCAGCGAGAGAAAACCGCAGAAGCTGCACACCAGACACACATACTTGAGAGAGCGAATCTTGAGATAGGAAATCTTCGGCGACGTTTTCATTTCACTCAAGCACGCTGGAACTTCCGGTGCATCCAAGGCTTGTGCGGAATTTCGCTCAAAACAAGGCCAAAAGCCAATTTCTCAGAAGAATGCAATCTCACTTTTCTGGTGCGAGCAGGGAAGCCTAGATAAGCCCGAGCTTAGTTATTTATTTATTTTATTAGTATACCTACGTCTCCTCAAGAGGCATTGCAGCATGGATGGCGGGCAACCTCGATAAGCCGAGGTTTTTCCGGTACAGGCTTCAATGAGATAGCAGATAAGTGCCACCTGGTCACTCCCGAAAGCTTCTGCACGTCTCCTTCGAAATCGTAACATGTTTGTTAGGCTGATTTGTCATGCGTTGATTCAGTACTGGGCAACTGTTGATTAATTGATCGCAACACTCGTGATTAGGGCAGCTTTCCCCCGTCCTTGCTTGCTTGTTCTATCAGTTTGGCTACATGTAGCTTAGGTAAACCACCTTTTGGCAAGCAGGCGAACAAAGCAAACTTGAAGGCACATAATATTTTAGAATGTCGAACCACTTGCCACGCCGGTGCTTACAAGCATTGAGATGTGTCGTCTTCAGAAATATTTTCATTCTTTTCATGAGATAACTTTGGCAACCTTTATATGGAATGCTGTACGGCTGATGCAAACACTCAACTGCTATTTATTTACTTTTTTAACCTTTTTCATATGTAATATTTTCAAAAGATCTTACTAATTGTGGTGGTAACACGTGAGCATTACAACATGATTCCCAATTTAGGAGTATGTTTGGTTTGATTAATTTTGGGTGCTTGATTACAGAAACTTTTCTACAATTCCTTTGGAACTAACTGTACAACTTTTACAGTTGCTTCGTTGGATCACTTGATAATTGTGGCTTGCCATCTCTTTTTTGCACGTATATATTTAGTTTAGATGCATAACCTGTAGCCCAAAGTGTTAGTTGCTACATTTTCTTGGTTATGCAAAAATTTGCTTATTTCTTCTGTTTGGTTTATGATTAAGGGAATCAATTACAAGAAACACTCTTGTAGGATCTTAAAGTTTAGGAATTCGATTCGTGTTGTACATAGTGCTTGGTGGAAAGTTGCGAAAAATGCCATTTATAGAGTAATGTGTTAATTTTCAGTTTTGCTCTCGTTTGGGAAAAAGTCTAAAAAAACCCATTTCAACATCTTGTTGGTTTCTGTTGAATTTGCCCAAATGAACGTAAAGCTTAACATTGCCCCACTGTTCCACACACACCATTTTCCACAAACCGCCGAGCACTGTACGAATCTTGTTCACAATACTAAGATGTAACGGAGCCACTGCATTACCTATTCAGACGAAATCACTTCTTTGTACTGAACGATTATGTTGCAATGTGGTAAAAAAATTGCTGCACACTACTGTATGGATCCAGTCCCTGCACTTTTGGATCCCACGACACAATTAATTTTTTTAGCCATAATCATTGTAGAAAGTTGCTGCCTAAACTGAAAATTACCCATAGTCATCAAGTACCCAATGGACTACTTTAAAAGTGAAGCAGTAATATAATATTCATAATATTTCCAAGGAAGAATATTGGTTGCTATAGAATCTCACTTTTTGTGTAAGTCTGACTGCTCTGACTGCAACCATGATGACTTCATTTGGTAGTCTATGAAATCAGTCTTTTAGATGTAGTGCCGTCTTCTGAGAACTCCAGCACGCTTTGTAGTTGTAAAAAGCCACTTAGGTAACTTGTTGGAGTCACATTATCTGGAGAAATCTTTCGATCCGATGCTTGACAATGGAGGTTGAAGAAATGTCTGGTCGTCCCCTGGCTAAGTCTTACAAAGGCACAGTTTGAGGGGGAAACAAAAATTCAAATTTGATTTTTTTCTTAAGAGACATGGAATCAACCTTCTTGAAGCTGGAAATTACTGTAAGCAATTTCATTTCTGCAACAACCTATTTCGCAACTTGAAATATATTGTTCAAAATCAATCTCGTGATTGACATATGTATACAGGAAATGAGAATTAGGGAAGTGTCGTTCCCACCATGTTTTTATCAGGCTTGGCTGAGATTAGATAAGGGGATAATCGTAATAGCAAGTAGGCTAAATAACTGAAATTTTTTAATTAACTTTTTAATTATTGCTTCTTTTTTTTTTCTTTTTTTTTTTATTAAGAGTCCTTTCAGGGCCCAAAGGCATTACGGAGGGGGAGAGCACATACATGAAACAAAGATGGTAAAATAGTAACAAGTCAGCAATATTAAATATACAACAAACAAAGAAAAAAACAACAGGTCATGGGTCACTGCTAAAATGGTTAACGATGGAATTTCTAAACAGGTTAGTGTCAGTTATAGTAGCAGTCAACCCTGGGAGGTGGTTCCATTCCTCGGCTGTGCGGGGTAAAAAAGAAGATTGAAATGTTGTGGTAAATGAACTTGGAGCTCCAACTTTGTGCTGATGATCAAGATGGGATGAAATGTAAAAGGGGGGAGTAATCATGTCATTGTGTAGGAGAGGATTATGAAAATACATTTTATGAAATGGACGTAGACGTGAAATTTTACGTCGCAAGGAGAGAAGTGGTAAACATAAACTTTTAGGAGTCATGTTGCACTTGCAGTATTGACAGCAATTACTATCGGAGACCAGGCCAATTGGAAGAATTATAAAAAATGTGATGGGTATTTTAGGTATTGATTAATAAATTCTCAGATTTTCTAACCTGATTTAAAAATTTTGTGCGAGGAGTGTGCCACAAGCCCTGTGCACAATAACGCTTATAGGAGTGATGTAGTTGTTTTAATCATGTCGTCTCTATCTTGGCAGCTTGTCCTTAATGGGTATATGCAGACGACAGTAGCAACGATGGGACTGAAACGACGTTACTCTTCCAAGCGTGAATGTGGGCAGGGCTTGCGGTGCGTTTTTTTCAAGCAATTTGTAAATCGAGCTAAAGACATGAAAATTAATAAATTAATGTATCAAAAACCATTACATTTTTGCAAATTCTTTCAGCTTGTCTGGCCTCTAATTTGTAGTTGCCGTCAGTACTGCAATTGCATCATGACCCCTAAAACCAAGCATTAAAAAGTCACATAACAGAATTTATGGTGTGGTCAATTTACCATGATGATTATCCCCTCATATAATGTTCGCCGAGCCTGATAAATATATGGGGAAGATGGCTGTCGTCTAATTTTCACCCCCTTTTCTCTTAAAATCTGTTTGAATTAGAATTAAACACCCTGTACATAGCGTATTAGTCCTAATGGCAAAATTTTCTGCCCGCAAAATATTCCCCAAACTCAGACACATCCCGGGAAATATTAAGTTTGTGAAAATATTTGTTTACAGTATTTCGTTTCTATATAAATATATTTCCTTGCAGGTGGGTGGCAGACACCGATCACTGATGTTGGTGTCTGCCACCCACCCGCATAGATTGGGCGAAAGCAAAATAAACTCAACATTTCATCTTTTTATTTTAATAGCTTTTTAAGACTTGAATGAGATAGTGCAAAGGACGAGGACAAGTGAGTATGAAAAGATTATAATTTTGGGGATTCTTTTTCTATTTTCCTCCGAGCCCACTTACCTACAGTTTCCTTATTTTTTCATAAATATTGTACAACCATGGGCTTGAACTAAATTTATAGAGGTGCAGACAGTCTAACATGCAGCTTCCACCTCCTCCAACTTGAACAGCACACATGTTGTCCGAGGCCATTGGGCTTATCACAGTGTGATAAGATCCGCCCGATTTCTGTATTTTGCGTCGTTCAATTTGCCGGTTTGCCCGAACGCCGCGAGGCCAAACTATCCGCTGGTCTCTCGCGTAGCAACTGCCGTAGTGGTTTTAATTAACTTCTCATTAATTCGCAGTGTCATTCATGAAAGCCTGCCGATGAACGCCACATCATCATGGAAGATGTGCCGGATTCCGAGAACGTCCAGTCGTTGTGCCACCCCATCAACCAAGAGGATGCCTCTCCAGAGTCTACTGCAACGTCTGCCGAACATTCTTCAGACGCGGCTCCCCATGGGACCCCTAGTACCGTGCCCCAGCAACCCAACGAGAAGTCGCCGTCTGCCGAGACGGACATGTCGAACGAAACCTCGCACCGCGACGCAGACTTTTCGGACATTTTGGGTGCTTCGACCCTCTCAAGATGCGACGACGACATGGAAGAAGATGGCGCCGCAAATCGCATCTTGTCACCTGCAGGGAGTGGCAAAAGTGAATCAAAGCCCAACTCTACACCGGCACCAGAACCCGAGTCAGACGACGTTCAGAAAAGCGCCGAACTTGTGCACGGCGAGAAGATTGAACATAATGCGGAGACGCGGCCAGAGACAGAAGCGGGAACCGCTCTTATTATGGCAACGGACAGCGACCTCGCCGAAGTCAACGCGGTGCTGGACAAACACCCCGAAAGCGACGAATCGGAGACGGCGCTTGACGACTCCATGCCAGTGGTGAAGGGAATGGACATAGACGATCCATCGGTCACCCCCTTGGCGTCGCAGGAGGCGCGGCGAAGCTCGACCCCGTGCCAGACCCAAATTCCAGTTCGGACGCCAGTGGTAGAACCAAGCAGCGGATCGGAAGGTGCAGATCACGATCTGCACGACTCGACGGCCGGCGTCAAGGGCCTGGATTTGGACGTGGCCATCACGAAGTCGCTGGACAGTATTGCGGTGCCGGTCTCGAACAAGCAGAGTGACGTGGTGGGGATTCCGATCGGGCGAAGGCACAGGAGGAGCGCGATGCAGTCGCGGACGCTGTCGGTGGTGTCGCTCTTGTCGAAGAGCGGCAAGGAGCGCCTCAGGCTGAACAGGAATCAGAAACTGACTCTCTTCTGCCTGTGTCTGGTGAACTTCACGAGCTACCTCAGCTACTCTGTGATTGCGCCATTTTACCCACAAGAGGCAAGTTCCGATTTTGCTCCGCTCACTTCTATGCTCGGTTTCACCTTACGATGGGCTGTTGTGGGTGCTACAAGCCACCGAAGCCAATCCAATGTCATTTGAGTGTCAGATGACCTTCGGGACCGGCGTGGCAGCTTGCAAGGTGCATAGTCACTCTATAGGTTCATAGCGCCAGACTGGCTGAGATGGCTCGTAGCGTCCTCTGCATTTGATCGTAAAGTAAAACGGAGCGTACCAATGAATTGAATGGGACGACTCATTATCAACCTGTGCATCAACCTGCTTATTGATGGAAAGCTTCTAATTTAGATAGCCCATCTCTCTCTATAGGCTTGTATGATAGCCCATCTCTCTATATAGGCTTGTATTGTGCGACCTCTCGCATCAAAATTTTTTTAGGTTTGGTGAAACCTGGGAAAGCTAAGAAAAGTGACAAACTACCATTTTAAAAATTATGTTCTTGAAAGTATTATGGTGGACCATGTGTCTACCAAAGCTTCAGCAGATTATCTAGATCCTATTAACCCTATTGAAATGCAGCGGCCTATTTGGAGCTTCCTAAGCATCACTTTTGTGCCCATAAGAATTGTCCTTAGCTCCCTAAGTTTGGACAAAGAAGTTTTGTGTTCTCCCCTCTCACCCAGCCCAATAACTTGAGGAAGGGGAAAAGCGACAAATACTGTCAAACTGCTTTTTGAACAGGGCTAACAAGCAGCTAGAGACTGACATTTTTTTGTAGGTACTTGTAATACATAACTGTTGGTTTTCCCTTTTGGAAAAAACCCAAGAGTGTCAGTTTGTCCTCTTTTTTTGTGTCCCTCAGTCTTGAATTTTTTTATTTATTTTTTGTTGAACAAGTTTTAGTTTCTTTGCATTTAAGCCTTGTTTCAGTTATTGCTTTTGCATAATTCAGCAGGCACATAAATTAATCATTCCCTATCAAAATAGCTTAAAGTTGACTGAAACACAGACACAGTAAGTAATTACTTCAGCTACACTACATCCCTTTTTTCACGACCCCCTAACTTGACCACTTTCACAGTTTGTGAAATAAACAGCGGGGCAAGAGTTTTTCTCCACAGCCGTGAACTTCCCAAAACTCGACTTCTTGCCATAGATCAATTTGTCGTGCCAGATTTCCAAAACAAAAAAGGAGGCTGTGAGGCTAAAGGATTTTATGGCTGTCACTTTTGGAATGTTGCAGGATTAATCTTTCGGTCTTACAATTTGTTTGCATCCAGTCCTTTCGAACCTCTTTGGTGCAAGTTGGTGCTGCCAAATTGAGCTAGAAACGTTGATGCAGAAAGAAGCTCCACCACAAAGCTAAAGGCCTATTCCCACGTAAACCGCAGCACTACCTAAGTGCTATTTGTCAGTGCTGCAAATAGGGCTGACGTTGCTAATGCGGCATTGACCTTGCGCTATGCTAGTGATACAGCACTACACCACTGCTAAGTTACATTCAAATCAGCACTGTTCCTCAATGCTGTTCCTTGCATTTATTTAGTGCTGCTACGTATATGTAAACTGGCCTTAATGGCATCCTCTACTTTCAGGCAGCTAGAAAAGGAATGCGTGAAGCTGTGTCCGGTTTTGTGTTCAGCGTCTACGCCCTCACGATGATGATCTTTTCGCCAATCTTTGGAAAGCTGGTGAGTTATGCTGCTACTCACATCTTGGTAAATGCAGATGCTCTTAAATATCCAGCACAGGGGATCTAGACTCGTCCAACACACGGTTGGAGCCAAAAGTTTGCATTGTCCACCGATTAGACCTTAGCGACAAAATAGCGACGTCATCGTTGCGAGAGCTCATTTGGCGTGCTCCATAAACTTTGGCCCAGTTGGGTATTTGACGGTTCCAGGGCCCCAGATGTGCAGATGAGTCAGATGTGTAGTGAATCACATACCACTTGAACACACACCAGTTGAACAAACTATTCAGAGTAACAATCTTCTGTAAATTTCGCAGTTAAACCCTGCTGTGCTTAATGCATTCGTTGAGTGAACACTTACTTAAAACAAACTTTCTCTCTAAGTCCCTCAAAGTGTGTTTGAGTGGTATTTCACGTAAAACAAATTTCAAGAATTAGAAATATTTTTTTTAAAAATCGTTAATCAACATTTTTTTTTCTCATTTCTTGTGTGCTTGGAATTTGTTCGAGCATATTGTTGATCCATCTACTATTACAAGTCATCTTCGTCTTTTGTGGTCTCTGAAGGGGTGCCAAGTCAAGATATGCAGATGAACGATCTGAACTAATCAAAAGGGAATGCAGTTTAGAAAGCCGCCAAAAGAGAATGTTTGGCACAGCCTGTACCATTGTATACGCTGAAGCACTCATAAACATGCACGAGTTGTTAGATTACGTGATCGTAAAGAATTGCAACTCAGTAAACCAATTTATAGACTTCACCGATTTCACAATAAGACAAGCCACCTTGTAGCTGACATACTCTGGAGTATGTGCACCTCTTTCTTATTTTTGTAGTGTGAGCTACACTGGCCGAGGTTGAGCAGTTTCGCGTGGCTCGCATAATGAGCCGTGCTCCGTGCTGCGCAAGCGTGAGGAGCAATGACGTCACACGTCGCACAGCTGGCGCGCTAAAGCCGCCGCCGCCGCCGGCTCCACCGCCACCGCGCGCGCCTCGCCGATCTGCGCATTCTAGAGGAGTGGCGTCATAGGCACGGCAGGTGCACTGGTGCCGCCGCGTGCCCAGCTGTGCACCTCCGTTGCGCAGTAGCCAAGTCTGACGCTGCATTGGAGCCGCTTGATAGCGCCGTATATCGTATAACGCTACGTATATCCTGGCATAGCCGAGCTAAGCCACCACAATTTTTTTATCAATGCTTGTTATAAGTAGGGTTCCGTGTTTTCGGAGTTTATTATTCATAAAATTTAAAGCGTGTTTTTTTCTGGGTTTTTTATTTTTATTTTTTTCTTAATTTGGCGTTTATTAGAGTTTATTGAAACAGATTCCTGATTCTCCGAAATTCGGAGTTTAATTTTTCTGAGTGCACAGTTTTTCTAAAGTCTATATAAAAACAAATACCGTAATAACCTGTGTCATCGCTCATCCCCGAGTCATCACCCACCCCATTTTTCTGGGCTAATATCGATTTCCAAAAGAACACAGAGCGATCACCCGCCCCTTTAAATAACCCAACAAAATGAAAAAAGCAAAGACACTTCACTTTGCTTACGCATTTCCTCCCAGATTTCTGCGGCCCCAAAGTCAGGGTATGTGCGTGTGAAACGAAAACAATGGAGATAACAAAATAAAACTTTCTACTGCTTGCAAAAAAATTTTATAAAAAAGAAAGTTGGAAAGGTAACACGAGCAGTAACCCGTTCAGGAATTGCAAGGTCAGCGAACGACCCATACTTTAAGGTGGAACAGCAGAGTGTAAGGTCAGATTCCGTCTGATTCAGATTTTTTTGTAGGTGTATGGTAATATTTAGGGTCAGAGTCCGTCTCTGCAGTAAGATCACCGCGCGAATCCGCTCTTTCTCCTGGAACGTCACAACCGTAGTTGGTAAGACTCTGCAATATTTGAGACAAAGCCGACGGGTAAATAAAGATTTCCTGAAACGCCGCACACAGACTTTACTAAAGCGCCCATTTCAAGTTCGCGTGTTCATGTTGCCGTCCATGCAATGCAGCAACGCCGCCTCAACCTGCACTGATAGCACGCTTCGCACGGATGCACGCATGTATGCGCCAAACAAGAAAGTTGCACAATAGGCTGCTTCTTGTGATTGCCAAGGAACACTCTGGGACCCTTACAAACGGTCTTTTATTAATAAGATGGAAAGTATTCATAGCAGATCTCCTAGGTTTGTTTTTAATTCCTATAACTGGTGCCAAAGTGTGATTGCCTTAAAAGATGTGCTCAAGTGGCGGCCTCTCCAAACTTGCCGTCAGAGCCTTCGTTTAAAAACTTCTACATGCGATTCATTATGAACTCTCTGGCATTGATAAAGGAACGTATTTACTTAAACCACACTTCATTTCCCGTAGACAAGATCACTCGAGGAAAATTAGGCCTTTCTCATCCAAAACTGACATTTCTAAACACCCTTTCTTCCCGAGCACCATTCAGCGCTAGAATGAATTACCAGCATCGCTCTTCGTCGCTTTTTTCACCCGCTCGCTCCTTGCACCTGGTTGGTTCTTCAATTTTCTTGTTGTCTTTTTTTTTTTTATAACAAATGGAGAGAACATAGCGGTAATAGAAACGTGCTTCCACGGAACAAACGTGTGCACTGTATGCTGACCGGCGGTGTTCATCGCATGCATGCAAGCAACAAACTTTGCGATAGTAAAGCATCCTTTCATGAGCATTTCTTGCATAAAACAATGATACTAATCCGAGTTTTGAGCTTAATGTATTTCTTGCGCAGCCGCGCCAGATATGTACAGAAAAAAAGAGGCCACTCCTCAGGACCTCTGACCCTGTGGTCTGACCAAGCTAATTTCTAAAATACCACAATTCTTTTTTTCTTTTTTTTGTTGCTGTGACATTGAATTTTGTAATTCTTCCGATAAATCTGAATTCACAAAAATTTTACCGTCGTGTATTTTTCGGATTTTATCAGATTTATCTGAGAACACAGAATCCTAGTTATAAGGCACATGTGGCAGTTTTTCGTGAATGGAAATATATTACCACCTCTTGGAAGAGGTGGGTAGCCTATGGACGTATAAAAAGCCATATTATTCCTAATCCTTACGTGTTGTTTTGCTTTGCAAACGATGCAGCACATTGTCGTTCTTACTGCCCACCATGAAATTCCAAGCGTGCGCTCATGCCCTAACAAACACCCACTCCACACTTTTGAAACATTCGAAAAATAAGTAAAGTATAAAGTACTCAGCCCCTGCTTCAAGCAAGCCCTAAATTATGCAAAGGACACATAAATCACCTATTTAATTGATTAATTAATAATTAACCAACCCTAGTGATCAGACGAGAAACTTTAGCTTGAACAACGAATTAAGTGTGTTCTTCCGCATGCATTCACTGTTTTTATGCATAGCCTAGTGTGCCAACTAGCCATCATTTTGAATTCAAGTCTGATCGGGCAGAGCCCTCCTTACCATGCTGTGCCCTTTTTGCATTCCCACTTACAGGTCTAACGAGCACTCATTCCCTCGTTGTTTTTGCAATTATCTTTAGATTGGGGTGGGTTCTTGATCAGTGTATTACGGTAGCTTGCTGCTTCATATTTTATACCCTGTGGGACATTATACAAAGAAGCCTTCAGCAATGAACCATTATGAAGCGTTCAGCCGATAGAGTACTGTCCTGGACAGCACTTCAACAGATACAGATATGAAGCGGAAAGATATCAACGCACAGGAAATTGTCTTTTGGAAGCATGCGATTTTGAGGGGTATAGATTATTCATCAATCATTGGAGTATATTTTACCATTGTCAGGCACTCAAAGAAACCTGCTTAATAGTATTTAATTTTATTGAGAGCGTGCAAGCATTTAAAAAAAATATTTGAATCACGTTTTAAATTCTGATTATCGGCACACCAGTACACGTTTCGTATCGGCCCATCTTTTGTTACCAAAGGTGTCTCAGTTACCGTGACTCAAATTGAGTCATATCTCTGCCATTATAGAGTACAGATATACCGTCTGGCATGCTTTCCGGAATGTAGGTAAGCCGTCATATTTCATGACAAGACGTATTTTCATTGCTGATTGTTTCCCTATCAAATTGTTATCTACAATATATTTATCTGGTGAGCAGAGAAGCAGTGTGTATGATAAAGAAACACGGGCCATTGACCCCATTTGCATTCTCTGCAGATTGTCTATCTGACTTGCAAAGCCGTTCTGGTCATCCTTGGCGCTTATCGTTTTTGTCACATCGATATCAGCTCGTCGGTGCATTCCTTGAGTGCACGTGAAACCTCTGTTGTGTTTGTCATTTCTTTGCAGTGTATTGAGCTCTAAGAATGACATATCCTTAGAGTACTACTTAGAAGTAGAGCACTGCACGGGCCCGGGCCAGCCCGAAAGCCCGAGCCCGGCCCGGCCCGCGGGCCGGGCTCGGGCCGGGTAGCATGTATTTTCTCGGGCCCGGGCCGGGCTCGGGCTTGAACAAAAAAGTTCCCGGGCCGCACCGGCCCGGGCCGGCCCGGGCCGTGCCTGGGCAATCTTGTGCCGTAAATCATAAATTGTTGTTGATGGCAAGAAGTTTGCTCATTAATCTTTTAGTTTCATTGAATACAAAAAAGCGAAGTGCAAATTCACTACAGCGTCGTTAGAAATAATAACTAAAAGACGTCTTGAAGCTAGAAAGCCTTCAAGCTTTTTTTGTGTGATCGAGGGTTCAGTGTTATAAATTGTAAACAAAATAAAGTCCCAGCTAGTCATATGCTTGTCAACCTGTCTGATTCATCGCTCTCAAAAATATCTCGTTCACTATTAGCAAGATTTAAAAAAAACAAACCTACTCAAGCGCTTTGGGTACCGTAAAAATAGCGTTGCGATGTAAAACCTATGGCGATGCTAATTTTAGCCTGCCCAAAGTGCTTGAGTACGTTATTCTAAGACTCCCTTATTGCACAGAGCGCGACACTATATTAGCGCGAACAAGCGATCGTCGTGTTTTTTATGTTTATCTCATAGA